GAGAAAATAATAATAGGCTTTAACTTTGAAAAGCCTTTTAAAGCTTTGTACAACAACCCATTGTGAGCTGAGAGTAAATGCAATTCAGTTAAAATACCTTCATTAGAAATACCTGCCAAGGGCTTCCTGTAGGATTTTCATAGTGCTGGAGTGGCATGAGGTTTGGGAAGAGGTTTAGGATTTTAATAATGGAGCTGTCAGTTTGATGCCTGAAAATGTTGACCCTGAGAGCTTTATTGCCAAATTTAGATTTCATATTTATATTAAATTATTACTTCTTCAAATATATATATATATATCTTTTTTAAACTGGTAGTGAGCACCATGGGCTTCTGCTATGTACAAAAAACATGGTTGAGTGCTAAAAACAGTGTTGTTGCTCACGCTTGGTTTTTATTTCTGTTTGTTTTGGTTATTCTTTTTTATTTAAAAAAAAATCTAGAGGAGGGGAGCACCGAGATGCCAGAGACCTGGAAGTCTGAATGGGTCCTTCCTGCCTGGTGCCGCTGAGCTCTGTAGTGGAGAGTCCCTCACCGTCCCTGCCTGCACCTCTGCACTCCTGGGGCTGGGCTGGGAGAGACAGGGCTGGGGAGTCGCAGCACCTTACCTTAAATCTGCTCTCCACCAAGACCATTTAGGTCGGAGCTCTGCTTGTTTAACCTGATACAATTCTGCTGTTTATCCAATATTGTCAATTCAGTACATCTCTTCAGCTGGGACATACATAGCTTTCCGCTCCTGAGCTGCATATTTTGGTTTGTTTGTCAAAGGAAATGAAATTACTTACTTGGGAATTAAGAAAAAAAAAATATATATATTCACCCCCAGTGTTTTTTTGTGTGTGTGTTTGTGTCGTGATATCTTGACCTTTCAGGTCACCAAATCTTGTTATTTTAATTTCTGTCTGGAAGAATGTCTGAGCAAGGTAAATTGAACCAGGAGACAGCAGAGGAAGCTGTGAAGGAGCAGGAGACTGCCATCTCCGAAGCGAACCCGGACAACTGTATCCTTAAATCTGAAAGCTCGGAAGTAGAGGAGAAGGAGGAGAAGCTGAGCGATGCCAAGACAGAGCTGCAGGTAAGATAGGAATAGTGAATGGGCGTGTTAAATATCAGTGTGTTACCATTGCCTTTCCATTTCTATGATCTCTTTCATTGCCTATGCTTCCCCTATTTTTTCTCTCATAATTTTGAGACTGTCTCTCTCTCTCTCTCTCTCTCTCTCTCTCTATTTATTTATTTTGGGTCCTTTTATCTCCCTAAAAAATAAATGCTGTTATTTGTTATACCTTTCAAGCTCTTTAGGCTGCTGTCCATGTTACTAATTTTTCTGAGAAGTTAATTCCTAGACGTCTGTGTTAAAGCTTGGTGAAATATTTGACTGTTTTCCCTCTTTGGGGATTTAGAAAACTACCTTGATCTCATGAATTTACAGGTAATACTAATGAATAATTACTTAATGTGTGGTTTGGTTTGTAGGTGTTACTGCCAACAAAAAGTTGTTATGCAAAGCCTAAGAAGGTAATTTGATAAGAAGACTTTATCGGATGAGGGGGTTTTAATCCTTTTTGCTCAATCGAATATAAATATAAAGGGGGAGACTACAATTTAAGAGGAATTTGGAGAGGGGGAGCATTTACTTAAGTATGCCTTTTCTTACATTTTTATTATATGCAAAATTTACAGAACACTGTGCAGTGTGTTTTTGTTATTTATACCTGTTCTTAAAATGAATAAAGCGAGCAGAGAATGATTCTTGGTTTTCCCTGCTCTCCAGACTGGGTTTGGGGAAGTTGTTTTTGCAGTCAGCAACTGATGAAAATATCATTTAGGAGTGATTTAGTCTCTTTATTTATTGGTAATGCTGTTGTCATGCACATTTTCCACTGAAGTGATAACTGCTGCTCTTTTTTGCTATACCCAGAAACGAGGTGCCAATCAGAACCAGCAGAAAAAGAGATCCAAGGTAAGGGTCCATCTCTGTTTGGAGTTGCATGCCATGGTAGGATAAAGAATTTCAATCAAATGTCTGTCTGCAATTGGAATGATGGCCTTTCATCACTTGTGTGGTGGTTGGGGTTTTTGTTTGTGGTTTGTGTCCCCCCCCCGCCTTACCCCATAATCTTGTTGCACAAAGGCAGAGGACTTCCTCTAGATAAAATGTGTCAGGCTCCCCTTTATTTATCCATCATACTTTTATGCTGTGTGCTTGTGTTAGTCAGCCTGTGTGCTTGTGTGCGCCACTAGGGAAGGAAAAAGCTCGTTCCTTTTGCTTTAGTAATTAACGTTTTTGTTTGAATTTTATTTTAATGGACTAATCTTGACATAAAGAAGCAGAGACTGACTAGCTCCCTAAGGAGGGGGAAGAAGGAGCTTCTAGGAACAAAAAACCCCTCCCAAACCTTCTTTTAATTTTCCAAGTGCAGATCCATAAAACTTGCACATTTTATTGTCCGTGTTCCGTGGATATAATACTACTAGAAGAAGAGGGCGGGGAACCAAAACAAACAAACAAAAAACCCCAAAACCAAATGGAAGAAGGAACCTTTGAGCTTAACTTTATGTTACATTACCTTCAGTATTGGATTATCTATTCTTTGCTGTTACGATTTTTGATGGAAGGGAGTGAACTGTAGCAGAAATGATTAAAAGCAAAAAGAAACCTACCACCTCCCATGTGGCAAATGGCTCACTGCTTAGAATCCTTTTCTATTTGCATCAAAGGCAGATACAATTTTGCTGGGTGGGTAGTACTTATTTGGGATATTTAGGGACAGCTGGTGTGTGCAGCTTATGTGACTTGGGGTCAGTAGTAGTGTTCTCTGTTTTGTTTTCTCTCTCTCTCATTCAGTCAGGAGCTAAAGGAAAACTTGTCCGGAGTCTTGCTGTGTGTGAAGAGTCATCTCCTCGCCCGGGAGCAGAAAATATTCATGATAATCAGGTACACTTGCAATCATTTCTGTTAGCTGCATGGTTGACCTCCATGTTCAGTTGCATGATTATGTTACTTAATTGGGCATTTAACAATGTCTTTCTTGGGGGAAAAATTTCATCCAACAATGAACACGTTTTTATGAAGTTATCTGGTTTAGCGTGAACTTTATTTTGAAATACTAGTTTTATACTATATCACAGGGTGTTGTTTGCTTTTTTTTCCAGACCCCCTGAAAATTTCAGCAAATGGAAAAGAATTCAAAAGAATTCAGATTTTAAAATTAAAAAAAAATAGTAACAATCAAAAAGAATATTAATATGTTCTTTTCTCTAAGGCTATCTCTTTCGAGGCTGCACCAGATACAGTTATGAATATGTGCTCTGGTTTCTGGTTCCTCTGAGACTCCAGTTCATATCAGTGTCCCCCTTCACATAAAATTCATAGGTTCTTCGCTCTCTAAAATACCTTGGTAGAGCCAAGGATGCCTCCTACTGAGTGGCATTCGTTTTTCTAAACTCTTGGTGTAGATTTTCCGGTATTGAAAAGCGTGTATTTGAGTTTATCTGTACTGGTAGTGTTGTATTCCCAGCAGCTGGTAGAGTTCTGTCCCCTGCACCCCTCATCTTGGACAATAACACTGGTGGCAGTCTTTGTAGACTAATTCCAAAAAATACCCCAAAAAGCAAAAGTAAAAACCTCAAATACTCTTCTTTGCTTGCCTGGTAAGAGCAAGGCTTAAAAAAACCCAAAATATAATGAGCACTGCCTATAATTTATGAGATGTTTATGTGCAAATGAGATCAGCCATTGAGAGAGCTTGAGCAAGTGACTTCTTGTGAGCTTAGCACAAAAACAAAAAATCACATTTAAGTGTACTTTCTCACCATTTCCTCTATTGACTTGAAAAGAAACAAATCCAGCTCTCCTCTTAGCTCATAAGTATGGAGAGGTTTTTCTATTTTTTTTAATTTTTTTTTTTTGAAAGACCAAAACCCAGGGTGTTTAGCAGGGGGACGTCTACATGTTCTACTGCTCTACAATGATGGTTATGCAGTAGATGAACAGGTTATTTTATCAGTTGTTCTGTTGTAGGTACATGCTTTCTGCTTAACTTGCGTTACTCAAAATGCGTGGCTTTTGTTCTGCTTTCATTTGTATTTTCTATTGTTTAATGGAGAGTGAAAAGGAGAATAATAAAAGAGATTGTATTAAGCATCGCATGGTAGTTTATAATGTACTGCACAGGACCTGTATTAAACGTCAGAGAGACTGGCAGGTTTTGAGGTAAAATCTCTGTCCGGATTGCACCCCGATGCCAGGCAGAGGAGGGGTTCCTGTTACACACGGCCTCTGGTCTTACCTGACTTTGGCCAGCCGCGGCAAAGATTTCTTTGACCATATCGAAACATTCGTGGGAGACAAAATGTCTCCCTGGACCCCAGCACCCATTTCCTAAAGACACAATTGGCTTGGTGTAGGAATTGCACTTTTGCTGTTGCTGACCTTTTACTAATGAATGTGGCTCAGCTTTGCCATGGAAAGCTGGACCTGCAGGCTCCTCCTTGGACTGGCTGAAGGATGAAGTTTTGTGCCAACCGAATTGCTTTGCTTTCACTTTAGAGGAGAAAAAGCTTATTTTCGGTTTGGATTTTTTTTTTTAATTATTATTTTATCTTATGGTTTACAAAGCACAGGGAATTAATTACCAGCGAATGTACAGTACATTGCCAGAACTACTGAGTATGGATTGTACTGCAGACTTGATGTTTGTATTTATATTTGAATACTTGCCTTCATTTTCCTGTATAGGGAAAAAACTTGTTTACCTGTATTACTTGATCTTGAACGCTTACCTGATGGTTCACTATGTCCTTACTTAAAAGGAATGTTGCCTTTAATGTTATACTGTTGACCAAGAAATGTATTATTGCAATTTGAACATTTATTTTGTTGTTCACTATACTTACCTTGTATCAATGTATTTATTAACATTGTATTTTATTATTGAGAAAAATCAATAAAAATCTAAGAAAATATACAGTAGCTTGCTTTCACGACTCTGCAGCCCTTTTGTGTGTTTCTTCTAGTGCAAATATATAAGTATTATGTTACATGTAAGACGGTATTTACTGTATGTTCGTATGTGTGCTTATGTGTAAAGTCTGTCATTTTTATTTTCATAAGTGCATTTTAACAACAACTGTGAAGGTTAGGATTAATATCCTGCGAACAGCATGGCCAGTTACATTTTTCTCCTGTTTTGAAAAGCTAGCGGCAGAGTCGCTTTGCTCTGGACAGTGCAGGGAATCGGAGTTACCCTTTGGGGTCTTTTGGCAGTGGTTGATCCAAAGTTTGTTGTCTGAATGAGAAATCGAACTGCCATTTGAAGTGAAAGAAAGCAGGCCTAACGTTAGTCCTCTGAGTGCAACTGAGCAGGTTAGCAAACGTTTTTCTATGTATCCTTACGTCAGACGACCAGGAGTTCCCACTCTTTCCCTCTGTACACTCAGTTTTTGGCTAATACTGTCAACCAAAACTAACAGAAGTAGGGATTAAGGACGGTAGTTCAGGTTAAATTTTGGCTCTAGGGCTTTGTTTCCCTTTTACAGTGCTTTTCATCACAAGTCTTTTGTGCCACATTCGAACTTCACAAAAAGTTGATAATGATTAAGATGAGAAATTACCCAATTTCTGTGTTACTGTGGCATGTTTATGCTGATATCTTGTTCTGTTAGGATCTTGTCTTACATGTGTTGTGGTGGCTGATTTGTAGGTCTTTAAAAAATTCAGAAACCTGAAATTTGTAATAATTACTGAAATCATCTTTCGAATTCATTATGGTCTGGTTGCTTAAAAAAAACACCCCTTACGTTAAAGTTTTGTATTGATCATTTTTTAAAAAATTGTGAAGGAAGGGAATTTACTAGTATTCCAGAAACTCTGATTTCTCCAATATTGGTGAATTTGGTTTTCATTAACATGATGCCAAAAAATTACCAGGCATGGAGGACTCTCTTCTGTTAAAGAAAATGGCATTACCGGGGAGTTTTGTGACAGCTGAATTCAAGTGTACATTTTTACACTACTTAAGCATATAGTATTATTTTGGCCATTTTTTCTGCAAAAGAATATGAACGCAGAAGTAGGCTTCCTTCAATTTTGTCCAACCAGATTGTTATTTCTTGAAATATATAAGTTATGCCATGGTAACTTCAAAAGAAAACGATTTGTGTTTTGTTAAAACAAAGCCAATATAAGATAATGTTGTAAGTGGGAAATAACAAGTTCTTTAAAGCAAATTGGTAAACGCAAGCCAGCTTGAATTCTCAGTTTTAATTAAGTTTTTAAAGCTGAAGCATGCTTTCAAAGGGACTCATAGTCTCTTAAATACTGAATTTTTGAGGACAAAACTTGGAGAAGTTCACTTACCGCAACTTGATTGAAAATCGCAGTGCACATTTCACCCCTTTTGCTAAAGGCATGCTTGCATATGTCTTTAAATATAAAGTACCTGATAAGTTAGTAAGCCCTCTTGAAGACAGCTGAGTTTATAATTTGCAGGCACTCTTCTATCAGAGCCTGAAAGCTCAGTCTAGCTGATACTGCGCCTACATGTGCAAAACAGTTCATACGAACCTCCAGGATTTTTTAGTGAGGGGGAAAAAGTTATATTTTTCAGGCATCTGTCCATCGATCATCACTTAACATTTGTAGTGTTGATTAAATTATAGAATTACTTAAGAAAGCCCATATAAAATGTATTTCACTGTTCTAATAAGTCTTAAGTGAGAATTACTAAAGTGTAGAATAATATAGTGCCTTTAATATCGGTAGACTAAAAATTTATAGTGTTCAAATATTAGGGGAAAAAAATACACTTACCACTAGAATTTGGCCTCTAAGATGTCATTATTCTCCTGGAAAAAAAAATCATTTTTCAAATAGGAAAGAAATGTATCTGGCTTCAGCTTTTCTAGCTACACATAGTTTAACGGAAATCTCTGCAGGTTGGAAGCCATGGGAAGCTTACTGAATCTGGCCCCAAATTTATCTTTCTTTTTTTTCCCAGCAGGAATCAATCCAACTACAGCTTTCGAGTTTTCCTAGCTTGCAAGAAGAAGATAAATCTAGTAAAGATGACTCCGAGAAAGAAAAAGAGAAGGATAAAAATAAAGAAAAAGATAAAAACAGTGAAAAAACCAAGATCAGAATGTTGTCAAAAGGTGAACTTAAAAATATTTAAATTGCTATAATTACTGTTATAAAAAGCATTGTATGTTTCCATAATCATGCATTTCTTTATTTGTGTATAAATACGCAGTAGAAGTGTTTTCATACATTGAGAAAATTCAGAACCTGAAATGTGTATGCATGAGTGGTTTTCATACAAATATCGGGCTTGAAAGTGAAGAAACCTTCCAAACTGAGGTTTGGTACTAGAGGTTATTAATTTTCTTTAATGTAAAATCATTCTTCTGAGTACTTAACCGTGTTGGTATAAACACATAAATATATTTGTGATTATATAATAAGCGTAAGACTCTAATACACTTTTTTCCCGTTAGGGATGATATGCTGGCATGTCACTTGTGCAATGTAGGCAGTAGGGAGTAATCCTCTTCACTATTGCTCATCTCTCATGGAGAATTTCTCTTAAATGCTATAAGGAAATCCATCCATGACCTTTAACCTGCATTGCAATCTACTATTATCACCTACTAAGACTTCTTCAGAAAAGATCTTGTGTCTAAATTTGGTATTTTTTAAAAAAAAATCTTTTTATTAATCCATGGTATAAAGTTGCAGTGTAATCTCTCAAAAATAATCATTGCCTACCTGGGTGTGGATCCATAGCTGGTGTGAATTGTCAGCTGGCTTCAATGGAGCTCACAGTTCACGCCAGCTTGAGGATCTGTGTGTACTTTTGAGTCAGGCGATATAGCAATGCTGAAAAATTAATTCTGACTACTGTCACGCATCCCTATTACCCACCCACTCTCGGGCGTCACTGAATTTCAGTCTGTTAATGCAAATAGGATTCCCACTGGCACGATGCCTCATTTGCTGTGTGTACAGCATATATTAAGTGATGCAAAGAAACATTGATGAATAAAACTCTTTCATTTTTTAAAATTCTATTTAGTAGTTTAAAGGAAGAACTTGTCAGGGTTTTGAGCGTCATTGGAGGTTTCCCATGATTTTCAAATGACCAGCACTTTCTGTTGGTGTCTAGTTTCGGTGCTACGTTCTCAGTAGAACGATACAGAGGAACCGTCAATGTCCACCCGATGCTTCCGAGTGTAGATCTTTCTTGGCTGAAATCCAAATGAACATTTTCTTTCAGAACATATGCTTTCAGATTGTTGCTGGAAAATGGATTTGATTTATAGAATAGCTTAATTGTAACTGTTGAAATGAAATAAATGAGGGGGGGTGGGTGTTTTGTTTTTATTTTTCAGATTGCAGTCAAGAGTATACAGACTCAACAGGCATAGATTTGCATGAGTTTCTCATTAACACATTAAAGAATAACCCCAGGTAGGTGTTCTGTGCATTAGAGCTGGCACTCCTGAAATTATAGCTGGCAGTCTTGGAGTTCCCGTAACTGTACGCTGTGTTTTATTAGTTCTGGAGATGGTTATGAGGGAAAATGTAAAGGAGGTAGGCTGTTAACTGAGCAAAAAGCTATAAAAAGTCATCAACTTTTACTCCCCTGTCCAGTCACCCATTGCTTAATTTCACTTTCAGCAATATCTCGTCTTTGTCCTTACCTTCTTGCATATAGCTCTACATGATGTTAGCAGTAATATATTATAACCATTGCAATCGGAGATTGGTATGGGAATATAAAGTAGTTTTCTTTTGGCAGTGCTGTACACAATTAAAATCCTGTGCACAGTGCCAAATTCTGCTCTCTGTATTCCCATAGTTTTCATTTGGAGCAACAAGCTCATCTCATCATTAAATTTGTCTCTAAACGTCTAAGGAAGGATCCGTAACATTTTTATATGTTGTGATTTTAAATGTTCATTTCAACTGAATCTGTTAAATAGGTACCACGTAATTCTGCAATTATAGGAGAACTAGGAATAATTGGGTACCTAACAGCTTGCATAACTTCTTGTATAGATGATGGAAGGTCCTTGAATTGTTTTTTCTGCACAAAATGAGAAAGTTCAAAAGAACTAAGGAGTGATGAACTCTGTCGAGCTTAGAAAAAAAATACATGTGTGGAAATATGCTGGGGAAATTTTTGAATGTTTTTGGCGGGGGGACGGGGGGGGGAAGGAACATCTGAGACCTTCCAGTTGAAAACAGAGCATTTTGACTGAGAAATGCTGCGGCATTGCCTCCTGGGAGCCATAATTCAAAGGCGTTGTTCTCCATTGTGTTCTCTAACTAGATTGGATGTGCCCAGTCCTCTCGCCTGCAGATCAATGCCTCATGGAAGATATGTCTCAGACAAAATGTTGAAAACTTCTGTGGGTAGCAGCTCTTCTCATGAAAGAGCTAGGCTAGCTGGAAATACCATTTTCTATCAAAAAAAAAAAAAGGGTGAAAAAGGACCAAAGCTATCCATAGCAGTCAGTCTTTCTATGGAAGGCATTGATCACAGCCTGGTGTGGCTGGAAGCACTCTTATACTGTAGCTGAGCTCAAGGAAGAGCTAAATCTGTCACATATGTCAGCGAAGGTGCAGCAAAGCAGGCTGCAATCTCCTCCAGAAGCACGTTTCATTTTTAATCAGGATGGTTGACAACACTTGCAAAGTTGCCTTACAAACATTGATATATTCATTTTTTCATCTAAAATGTCTATTGGTAGTTGATGCTACAAATCCTTGCATTTCTTTTTGACAGGGACAGAATGATACTCTTGAAAATGGAACAGGAAATTATTGATTTTATTAGTGACAACAAGTAAGTCGAGTTCCACACTTGGTTATTAAGTCACGTGTGCTTGTAGCAATGCGAGCTGTGCGAGGGATACGCGCATATGGACCACAGTGCTCCTGAGTGCTGTTACTGGCACGCTGCAAGATCAGGCTTTTATTTCCTGACACATGGTGGTACTGCTTAAAATACAGTAGATGTAAATGAAAACCTTTTGCTTTTCATTGCATCATAATTGCACTGGCTCTGCTCATTTAGGTCCAAAAATATGATTAAAGCTTTCAGTGCAGAGGATGATCAAATATGCTACCTCATGGGTTTCCCTGTGTGCTATGTTATTCTAATGTGTTGGAAAATAAAACTGGACTTGGGTGGCAGGATTCTTGCTACTACGTGCTCTTTAGAATAAAATGTTTCTGCAGCTTTAAAAAATAGAGAGTCAGAATAACAGCAGAGGAAGAAACTATGCTGACGGGAAATAAGCATTTTGTCAGTAAGAGAAAAAAGGAGTATTTGCCAAACTAGATCTTTCCAGTATAGCCCTGCGTCTGACTTTTGGGAGATAGGCAGAAAGCTGTTGCCCGTATCTCAGTAAATCTGCAGGACTGTTTGTGCAGGGAGTGTGAATGTGTATGCGGGGTCGAGGGACGAGTTCTTCCCAATATAGAGAATACTCAGTTGATAACCATGAAGCCCGAGCTTTGTTTGTCCCAGTGTAGCGCATGGAAATGTGCTTATTAGAAACTCTAAAAATAATTCCTTTCTTTTTTTTCTGCCTACTTGTAGCAAACATTTATATGTAAATGGACAAAGGAGAAGTTTTCAGTTAGATTTCTGTCCACTGAATTATCGAATGTATTGCTATTTTCATTTAATTATAGCTCAGAAGGAAATGTAATTATCAATGCAATTTGTTTTCTTTTTTTCCAGTAATCACTATAAAAAGTTCCCTCAGATGTCGTCGTATCAGAGGATGTTAGTGCACAGAGTGGCAGCTTACTTTGGAATGGATCACAATGTGGATCAGACTGGAAAATCTGTAATTATCAACAAGACCAGCAATACAAGAATGTAAGTAGCAACACTATTGTGTTTTTTGCTTGTTCCCTTTCACAAGAGCTGGTTTGTACCATGATTGTGTGGCATATCTTTTTTTTTTTTAATATTTTTTTTTTTATTTTTGTAGCAAGAGTGAGTGCTGTTTATCGCTTTCTAGGGTGGGAGGGGAGGACAGGGCTTGCATTGTGAGGTTATTTAAGGATATAAAGATGCATAAGGAGAAATCAACCCAATTTGTATCTTGCAAGAAACTTAACACAGTATCTTGGAATGTTACTTTCCCTGACTCCTTAGTGCCACCACTTTGATACAGAAATGAGCTCGTTGCTTTACATGTCACCTGATACCATACGGCTATATTCCTAAATAACCCAAACGTATTTGGAAGATTGCCTCTTCCCTTGTTCTGGCTCTCCCTGCTTCAAGAGTCATTTTCTGCCCAACCTGATTATTTAGGATTTGGTTCCCCTCCACCACCTGCCACTATTCATTCCCTTTTCTTCCTCTTCTCCCCTCCTGGTTCCACTTTATTTTCTTTTCAAATCTCATTGTTTGACCACAGAGTTTTTGTGGGATATAATTTCCTTCTGATGGTTCGAATGCACTGCAAAATTCCTGGTAGGTTAAAATTGTGCTGGCAAGCTTTATGCTCTCCTCCGTGAACCCGTATAAAGCTAGCAAAAGCTCAATACGAAGTTCCTTGGCTAATTCAGCAAAGATGCAGTCATGTGTCCTTGCCCTAATCAGCATCACTTCTGCTGCCAAGTCATGGAACCATAGCCTTCCTCTCCCTCTTTACCTATAAACTACATAATGAAGAGGAAGTAATTACAACTGGGTAACGAAGTTTTGGTATCTGGTATTGGAACAAGAAAGCCCCATTTGAAAATTTTGTACTTCCTGTATTCAATTAGTAGGAGAAATAAAAGCATTTATTTCATTTACATATCCAGTAGTTAGGTGATTTACTTAGATGCAGTTGCAGAGAGGGTTTTTTTGTGGGTTTTTTTTTGTTTGTTTGTTTTTTAGTGTTACTAGCTTCTCCAGTAAAAGGCTAGAGGGACTACCTAATTTTGCAAGATCAAAACCTGAGCCAAACACATTGGTATTTGTTATTTCACTGAGCCCTAAAAATCTTCCATGTGTGTGAAGTAAATTTAAGATCACAGACAATTTATTTTAGAACTTTTTCATGGGCTATCCCTGAGATACTTGGGCATCTGTAAAACGACACTTAGACATTAATGTTTTTAAAGGTCTGAATAAAGCGTGCACTAACAGTCTGATTTTCAGAAGTCAAGAGAATTACAGTAGCTCGATAAAACTAACACTCAGGCTGCTAAGGCTTAGCCTCAGGGTCTGGTAATACCTGTCCCTGTGCAAGGACTATGTTTGGGTATGAATAAGAAAAAGCTGGGTATGCAGCAAACTGGTGATCTTTTTGAGCTGTAAATGAGGGAAAAAAAAATTAGTCTCTTAAACAAAACACAGTCAATCATATTTGAATGCTTTTTAGGCGCTCCTCTTTACAGTTCTCCCTTTTCCCTTCACATCTGTGTCACCTCTGAGGTGCACCAACTGTTACAGATCTTTCCTCACAGCGTTGCCTTCTCCTGGTTGACTTGAATCAAATGTGAGAGTATCACATTAATATTTGATAATGCCTTGCTCGGTTGCGTGGCTGTGCATCGCAGAGATGGGTAGCACTGGAAGCGCTGTTGGAAATACTTGCACAGTGCTTCTGGAGAGGACACCGAAGTCGTCTTCAACAGTCAAAACTTTATCCGAGTGCTCTGGTGAAGCTGTGGCTTCTTGTGTGGTGGGAATGAGCAAGCAAGGCTGTTTACCAGGCATGAACTGGCATCCTTGTGGGCAAGCTCAGCAGGCAGGACATTGCAGGGGTATAACGGATCGAATGACCCTTTCAGCTGTGGTCTTGCAAGCTGGAGGTGAGGCATGGAGACAGACAAATTGGTTCTGACACCATTCCTGTGTAGATCTTCCAGAAATAAACACAGGGCTTTGCCCCTCTGTTGACTGTGAGTACAGCTGTTTTGTAAGCACCACACAAACTGCAGATTTTTTTCCCTTCTGCAGTGATTTGATGGTAGGTAACTGGATTATGTGAAGCTCATATTGCATCATGGTGCTTTCAGTGTGTTATTTACATTATTTTGATATGCTGTAAAATAAGGCTTTGTAGAAGTAGCTCTTTCTTTTCATAACTGGAGATGTCATGTTTTTTTAAAACATCCCTGGCTCTGATAGAAAATAGATTGCTGTTATCCAGCTTGAATAAGGGCTGATGAGATTTTTATTATCCGCAGCAAATATTGTGCAAGTTCCACATCTGAAAGCATCCGATGTGATTTCATGAGTTCTGCATTTCAGTACTCTCAGATGAAACAATTTTGTGCGGTTCAGAATCAACACCAAATACTGGGAATGTGTTGACTCTATTAATTACCTCTTGGACAGTATCCAGAATACCGGAGAATCTGGAGAGCGGCTGAAACGCTGTTCAATGTGGTTATGCTGTGCTGTAAGCCTGAGCCTTGATAGTTCTATGTGAATTTATGGAGAGGCCCCATAGACACATATTCTGAAGATTTGCATTTTGACAATAAATTATCTCTTCATGGCATATGGTTTCCAAAGTACTTTAGTTGCATACTGTGGAGAGGGAAGAATATTCTTGCATGCTCAAGAATGCATAAATTCTGCGCTGGCTGTCACTTCTGCGTGTGTGTGTCCCTGTTTGGGAAGAGCATATGACTCTACGGAATTGCTGTGTGGGCTTGAATAAGCACCACGTGGCTTATTTCTCTGGCCGAGTGAGGGTTTGTGTCACATCTCTGCTCACACTTGCAGGCGATGAGTTGTTCCCTGGCTCCAGGCAATGAGGTGCATTTATTCTGTTCAGCAGAGACCTCTCGTTCTCGCTGCCCGCAGGTGCTTGGAGGCACAGGTGTCAGGAGAGTTAATGGCTTTGAGATGAATGGGCTGGTTGGGAAAATACGGTAATAATGCTACTGTAGAGGTGCTGCGGTATGGAGTAGGGTTTGTCAAACGGGGGATTAGGGTATGAATAGAGTGGATGGGGGCATTTAATTTCTTTCATCAGTTGGCCATCTTAGGGCAACATATATCCGCTTCTGTGTAGGTGTGCCTATAAAAAACACCTGCTTTTTCGGGGTTTGGAATTTGAGAAAGTGCTTATTGAAGAGGCTGCAGCTGGAAGGAGGGCTGTGGCTTGTCTGGTCAACATTGCTGCTTTATGGAGAGGGGAAGACAATGGTAGTAAATGCACTAGGACTTGAATCTCTCCAGGATTGCAATCCTGAAGCTTTAGTGAACTCTGAGTGAAGTTTCTCTTAAAGAGACAGTCAGACCGTAATGTTTGCAGTCTGAAGACTATTTATGATGAGGAGCTTAATTTAAGGTGCTTTTTTTTAAAAAAAAAAAAAAATTATTGGAATGTGAACAAGTCATACTGTTTTTGAAGTTTTTTTATGAAATGAAATTTTAAAACAGAGAGATGACCTCAACTACTCAAATGTTTGTTAACCTTCATAAAGTTAAGTCTCTGTACTCTAGCTCTCAATCAGAATAGTGGATTTTAAAAACAAACTATCTTTCCATATGTTTTTTGAAATTAAGACTAGGTTAAAAAAGAACAACTTCGAAAAATAAGTATCATTTTTCATGGTCTCACATCTTACAAAGTCCTGCCTAACTAAATTGTCCAACTTTTAAAATCTTATTCTCAGCAGTATACATGAGAAAAGTTGATCAGAAAACGAGGAAGGGTTTTTTGTTTTGTTTTTATAGTCAAAGAGCTCGAATACTAGTTAAAATGGGAAGTCTGCTTTGTTCAATATGAAACTACTCTTGTGTCACCATTGTAATGTATATTTGTCTGTCATCTGTGTCTGCCTGTCATCTATCTAAAGATATACTGAAATGTATGGGGAACTTAAGACAGTGAAATATGATATAAACAGAAGTTTGGAATTGAGGCAATATGTTAGACAGGGCATCCAAAATTGGAGCCAAAAAAATGCGTATGTGCCAGCTTCTATTCCATATGTTCCTCATAATTCCTATCAGACAACGGGAAGTACTTCAGAGCTTTTTGCAGAAGCATTCATATTATTAAACATCAGTTCAGTCAGATTCATTCATTTGATTATCTGTAGATAGGTGGAGAAATGTAGGGGAAGTGTTTGGTGTGCTTCGTAAACGAAAAGAGTTTTCATTTGGTTGAGATCACCCATGTGACAAGTATGTCTGTACCACAGCCCACACATGCATTCATGTACATTTTTATTTAAGTGTGAGTGGCAGGGCTCATCAGAATTGAGAAGGTGGAGTGCTTATGATATATAGTGGTTGTATTTAGACATTTTCATACATTCTGAGGGTGTAACATACCTGTTACGAACTTTATACCAATACTCACATCTTTAGTTACGACTTTTTTTTTTTTTCCCAAGAGCATCATGAGTTATGATCCTTGTAATATTTGGTTTTCTTCTTACTCTATTGATATGTAAATGTTAATATAATATTGGCCCAGTCGGAAGGTTTTTTTGGTGCCTTTGAGATGCATCAAAAACTTTGGGCAATAGTAAGATGTTATGTGTATTACAGGGGTTCCTTATAATCTAGGGTTGAAGGAGGCATACTGTACAGTATGTACTTTGAACCACCTACAAGACTTTTGTAGTTATGACATATGATCTGTGTTATTCTGTCTCCTCTGTGTAAGGGTGGTTTGAATCACAGAGAAGAAAAGTTCTCATTAGGTTTCTATTGTGTATACACTAAGTGATCTTGTTGTAGAGAACATCTATCCTAGTAGAGGTGCGCTGTGCCAATTTCACCATCTTAAGGTAAGAATCTGAACTTTGGTACAGGATCCTACAGACATGTCAGTAAAATGGCATTCACAGAACACTGGCAATTTGAATGAGGAATAGTTTCTAGAAATTTTTTTTACCCTAGGCTAA